TGCATTCCTTCCTGCCTTCTGAGCGTCCTCCCTGGGCCATGCTGCCTGCTGAGCCCCTGGGTTGGTTGTTCCAAGGAAAGAATACCTCCCAGGTGTCTATTGTTTGCTGAGTCACCAAGCAGGAGTTCACTTCCAGGCCCAAAGGGTGTTAGGGGTCATATATTCCCAAGGATTTCAACCATCTCTATCAGACCAGTAAATCTGTGTTTTTGTTGTTGTTTTTTAGGGTTTTTTGTTTTTTAACGATTTTGAGTTTTGTCCCATATTTTCCTTTGCCAGTACCCAGGGTCTTCTAATGTGATTCCTTTGAAGAGGGTCAGTGGTGGTGGCCGGGCACCATTTAGTCTTTCTGGTCTCAGGGTTGTGGGAGATTGTCATGAAGGACATCCTTTTGTGATTTATGCAGACTGTACCACACCACCCCCCCCAACCTCACCCCCCATCCTTCTAATTCTTATCTGTTCTTGAAGGACCATTGTCACCCTCATTGACTCCAGTTCATAGAGACTGTCTAGGACAGAGAAGAGATGCCCTGTAGGGTTTCAGAGGTCTTTGTGGATGCTGTTTGATTGGTGTTTTTCTCTCGGGAGGCAGCTGGTGGATTCAAACCTTCCCTGTGTGACTCTGGGTAACTGGAGAAAGCATAAGCAGGTTAGGGAACTCAGGTCTGTTACTCATCTGGGTCCCTCTCCAACCCTTTGCCCTTTATTCGGATGCCTTTGGGTGGCATCACCCGAAGTCGTCACCCAAACCACTTTCTAACCTGGCCCTTCCCGTCTTTGTCTCCATAGGATGGGAGCCTGCAGTGCCCGACCTGTAAGACCATTTATGGGGTGAAGACAGGCACTCAGCCTCCAGGGAAGATGGAGTACCACCTGATCCCCCACTCCCTTCCGGGTCACCCGGACTGCAAAACAATCCGCATCATCTATAGCATCCCCCCTGGCATTCAGGTGAGCCTGTCGCTGCCTCATCTCTAATTGAAATGTTTGCTTGTAAAAATCAGCGTCTCCTCTACTATGAAAAGTCTCCTGGTCCTGTGCCTGCCCAGTCTCCCTAACCTCGCACCACGTCCACCGTTCTTCCTTCCGAATGCATCCGCAGGTTCCTGGTGCCAACATTGTGTCTACCCTGCCCACTGCTACACCCAGCGCAGCCGGGCAGTCCCGTGGTGCCGTGCCCTACACGGGTCAATTAGCACCAGGCCCCCAGAGGTCTGCCCTTGCTCCATACTGGGATCTGCCTCCTCCTTGCTCCTTCTGTAAAGTCCATTCCACAAAGGCGCCATCCTTTCAAGTCCATGGTCTGATACAAACTCATCTCCAGCAATTTTACTGATTGGCACTCTCCCTGATCAGTTGCTATCGAGTTCATTCCTACTGGTGGCTACCCCAC